GCTCTGGCATGGCCACAAGGGCTGCAGGTAGATATCTGCTTTGCTATGAATCTCTGCAGACTGCAGGGAGACAGCCTGCCTCACCATGGTCTTCATCATGGGTTGCAGGGAAATCTGCACCTGGAGCACCTCCTTCCTCTCCTTATTCACTGTCCTTGTCTGCAGAGCTGTTTCTCTCACATATTCTCAGTCCCCTCTTCTCTAGCTGCAATTGCTTCTGTGCGGTAACATTTTTTCCCCTTCCTGAATGTGTTATCCCAGAAGTGCTACCATTGTTGCTGCTGGGCTTTGCCTTGGCCAGCAGTGGGTTGTTCTTGTAGATGGTTGGCATTGGCTCTGACAGATGTTAGGGAAGCTTCTCACAGAAGACACCTCTGTAGCCCCCCAGCTACCAAAACCCTTCCACACAAACCCAATACAAATACCATGTTCCAGATTAACTGTGCTAGGTTAGGGTGAAAAATGTTCTTTGATAATATCACACTGCAATTACTTTGTTAATACAAGAAATTTAAAGAACTGTCAACATTGATCATCTAATTAATGCCGATGAAAAACAGATAAGTGTAAAGACCTTGTCAGGTCACCAGTCACTTCTCTGGTGAGCATTACTAGTTAGGTTGAAGTGTCAGATCCAACTTTAAAGAATGGTGTTAATCTTAAAGTATTTTATTACTATGACATTACCAGGTCATATTGTATTCCTAGTGGATGTTTGGCTTTTTCCTTAGGAGGTTAGCAGGATAATTGTTTTGGACATAAATTACAATTTTCTGGTTGGCATTTGGGTGCAGAAAGAGTGCTAGCCAGTGTACAGGAGACATGTACAGGTATTGGCTGTGAGAACAGCTCTGTGTAGCAGTGTGTGCTTTGCAGCATCTTTCCAAGGTCAGGTGATTTCTTCAGAATATAGGGCTGTGTTGCTCCCTGCAAGGAAGTGCTTACAGCTCTGGTTCATGGAAGTCTCCCCTCACCAACACTTCCTGGCATGTTTATCCTACTGCTTCTATGTACTGCTTTCTGTACTTAAAACATAGGAACCATCCACAACACTGGCACTACCAGCAATCAAAAATCAGGAGTCAGCCTTTATGGGCTGATTTCAGTGCCACCAAATTGCCAATTTTTGCTACAGATAGAAATGTTTCAAAGAATGATGAGCCCTGGCATGATATCCTCCTCAGGAAATGTGGTTTTGATCTTTGATTACTAGGATGTCATTAAGTTCCGTGCTAACAGTCTTCTGGACTTTTGGCAATATCTCTGATCCACAATTTTTTAAGTATAAAGTGAATGGAGAGTGTAATACAACCTTTTTTCAGCATAGCATTTCTTCTAGTTATGAAACAGTTTTTTCATCTATTCAGCTCTACTGGTATTTAGCATACTGAAATTTCTGTAATTTGGCTTTTGTTTTAATTTCTCGCCCATTTCTTCTGAAAACTTTTGTGTGCGCTTCTGTGCAAAGGAAGGCATTAATACCCCCTGCAAAATACGTTGTGCTTATAACAAGAGGTACAGAGATGCTAATTCCACTAGTGTTAGTAGAAGTCTTGCCATGAACTACATTGATAGTAGGATTTCAATTACTGCATGTTTACAACATACTACATAACTAATCATTATGTGCCTGGTGAGATGTCACAAATCCAAAGTTACTTAAGTATATTTTTGATTGTTAAATAACACTTGTTTGACAATCTTTTATTTTGATATATGTTTTTAAAAATACCTCCTGTGAGTAGAAAAATAGTATTTGTAATTTCAGTGACATTTTGGTAATAGTATAATTTTCTGCCAGTAATGCCATATTTTTGCAAATAGGAAATTATGTACTTGAAATTCCTTCTTTCCTTTCTGTGTCTGGAGGCTGTCTATGTGGCTTTCAATTTTTGAGCTATGTTGAATATGGAATACAACCATGTGCATATATAAACCATGCCTATTGTACTTCTGCCTAGTCTTTCAGTTTTCTGTGGCTACAGATTCTTTACTATTCTCAAAGAAAAAAAAATAACCTTAACATGAAACCTTAAGGCAGGGGCCAGTGAGTTTGAAAGATTTTAAAGCTGGATCATCAGCACACTGATCTGTACTTCAGACACCAATCTAAAAGTGAAAGCAGAATTGCAGTGGCTTTAAAAAGTACTCATTGGATTGCCCAGAAAATGCAGCCCCTCTTCAGTGACTCTCAAAGGATTCATTATACAATCCCAGATGTAGTATGTTTTGACTTATTTGCAACTGCAAAAGAAAACAGGGGAAATGTAATTTTTTGGTTTCTATTAGTGTGCTCAGCTTTGATTACCCTGGAAGATAGGCTCTTATTCCAAGACGTTTACAGTCTGAGATCAGATTTTGGCACCCTTTCTCATGCTGAATAGCATTAGTTAGGGCTGAGCTGCTGCTCATTCAGGTCAGATAGATCAGAATTAGTCATCAGTTGAGATGGTGGTATTTGTGTAGAGCCCTGATGGTGATTCAAACATCTCTCCATGAGGCAATGATGCAATGTTTTTTGCTGCTTCTAGCTGTTTATCTGTACCTCTCTTTTATGCCAGTACCATAAAAATACCTTTGGTTAAAAAAAGTGCTTTAAGAAGGAAACTGAATGAATGAAACTGTTTGGCACACAAAGAAGCTGGAGGAATTTTGTACAGAAAGATTAGCATGCAAGAAAGCCTGTACACTGAACATGGTCCTAAGAAACCAACCTAAAAGGCTCAGAGGTTTTCACAGGCATGCTAGTAGATGAGCAATTATTAGTTTGTCTTTTTGAACATTGTCTCTTGCCAACTCTGAATCCCTTTCTCCAGTGCAGCATTCAGCCTGCAGGATAAGTGGATGATGAGGTAGACAGTTGTGGTGTGGAAGGGATTCAAGCAATGTGAATGAGATTTTGATCTTCTGGGACTCCTGTGAGACAGAGAGTGAAGAGGAGGAAAGACAAACTGGTCTTCATTTGCAGAAAAGGCTTTCATCTCTTCTGTGCTGTGTGGCTATGGCTGAGAGGGGAGTTGTCTTCCTGCTTGTATTAAATTGCCAGACACTTAATTTTGACCAGATGCACCGTGCAATTATGGCAGCTGATGGATAGTTATAAATGAATTAGTCTTTGGCAAACAACTTTATTTCAAGAAAGATCAGCATCACAGAAGATATAGAAAAACAAATTTTATGACAGGGTCAGCGCGTTTTTTAAATGCTCAAATTTCTTGGCAGAATAAAAGGACACATTAGTGCAAAGAGGCAAAGTATCCTAATTTCTAAGCATACCTCTGGAACAGACGCCTTGCTGCTCTTCCCACACAGCAAGGAGGACTAAATACTGATGGACAGTCTGAACCTTGCCTCTGTTTGCTGAACTTTCCTTTTTGCTGTGTTTCGTATTGGGGTTATAGGTAGCATTCCTGTCACTGCCACCATGCTCCCCACACTAATTGTCATGAAGTACAGAAGGTTCAAGCATGCTTGGTTCCCAAGGCTGCTAATGAGCCCTGAGCTCTTCTCACCCTTAATGAATCAAGGTTTGTTTGTGGGGGATTCTGGTCCTTCTGTCCTTTTCCCTGGTCAGGGGAGGAGTCAAGAGTTCACACAACTAAACAATGACTTTACAGTGTAAAGACGATGCAGCTGTGCCATCTGAAACTGTCCTCAGTTATGAGCAACAAAGCTTAAATACATTGTACTGTGAAGAGGTACAGCTCTGTGAGTGTGAAGCATAGCTTTTGCTTCTGCTTCACTGACCTGTCTGCTTGCGGCAGCGACAGGCTCTTGACAGGAGCTTAGGCAGGGAGAGCTGCGTAGGGTGACTCTTTCAAAACCACACTCTGTAACACTGAGCACAGGAAGGGAAGCAAAATGAAGTTTTAGTCGATCTCTGATGGGGGTGTACTGCTACCTTCTCTGGAAAGTCCCATGCTCTCCATTGAAAAATCACTGAAAAATCCACTTCAGATGTTTAGTAAGTTCACTAAAGCAGGCAGTAGTTCATATGTTTTAGCAGTAGAGAGTATTCATAAAAAAAGTGATGCTTAACACTCACACACAAACTCCTCCTAGCAAATCACACAATGCACTATCTCACTGCACTTTACTGTCTTACTGTCTAGAGACCCTTCTTGTACAAGAGGTTAGAAATTTGGGCTAAACTACCTTTTGCCATCTACTTAATTCACCTTCCTTTAGGCATTTCAGTTATGACACTGTGCGCTCCCCTAGCTATGTTTATCTTACTGCAAACATGTATGTGATATATTTTTGGCATATGTATACAGGTATATATGCACAAAAGTACAGGTACATATAAATACAGCTGTATATGTTCTTGAAATACATAGGAATAGATTAGTATATGATATATATCATACATATTATATGTAAACTATCACATGCTTCCCTAGAAACATTATTCCTTGTGTATATATTCATATATATATTTACACAAGTAAACTTGGACATGTACTCTAAATTCCATGCTATTTCTATAGTAGCAAATGAAAATTTCAATCTGATAAAATAACTTTGTTAATGGTAGTAGAGATTACAAATTTATCAATTATAATACTCTAGACTAATCCTTGCACAAAGGTGAAATGCTTATTTAAAAAGTTTTGGTAATAGATGAGTGAAACCAAAAGCAGCATCTGCAGAAGAAATCTAATTTTGCTGTAATAGGCTGTTTGAAGACCATCATTTTACGTTTTAATAATGCACAGAAACATCTGCTGTTTTCCTTGATTGCATGAGAGAGAAAGGGAAAAGGAAAAAAAATGAAGGCGGCTTGGGGTTTTTTCATTCTTAAGTGAAAAGGGAGGGTGGGAAATAAAACAGTCCAGTTTTAAATACCTTGATATGTTCATGTGCAGGTTCAAAACTTTTGATTGCTCTCCCGCCCGGCGTGGTGGGTTGACCAGGGAGCAGTGGCGAAAGTTGACAACCCCCCATGGCTGACCCCTCATGTTTTCTCTCGCCTAATCGAATTTTACGTGTGTTTCCAGATAGCTGATCAGCTTCCCTGGATTTCGCTGACGCCACAGGAAAGCTTTGCCTGAAGATGGAAACACTGGAGTCAGAACTGACCTGCCCTATCTGTCTGGAGCTGTTTGAAGACCCGCTGCTGCTGCCTTGCGCTCACAGCCTCTGCTTCAACTGCGCACACCGCATCCTGGTCTCCCACTGCGCCACCAACGAGCCAGTGGAGTCTATCACCGCCTTCCAGTGCCCGACCTGCCGCTATGTCATCACCCTCAGCCAGCGCGGTCTAGACGGGCTCAAGCGTAACGTCACCCTGCAGAACATCATCGACAGGTTTCAGAAAGCCTCGGTCAGCGGGCCCAATTCCCCCAGCGAGACCCGCCGGGAGCGGGCATTTGATAACAACAGCATGTCGTCCTGCGAGAAGGTCCTCTGCCAGTTCTGCGACCAAGACCCTGCCCAGGAGGCAGTGAAAACCTGTGTTACCTGCGAGGTGTCCTACTGCGAGGAGTGCCTGAAAGCCACTCACCCCAATAAGAAGCCGTTCACTGGCCACCGTCTCATTGAGCCCATCCCGGACTCCCACATCAGGGGATTAATGTGCTTGGAGCACGAGGATGAGAAAGTTAACATGTACTGCGTGACTGATGACCAGTTAATTTGTGCCTTGTGTAAACTGGTCGGGCGGCACCGTGACCATCAGGTGGCAGCTTTAAGTGACCGTTATGACAAGCTAAAGGTCAGTGCTACCTATCAGCTTTCCTAGCCAAGCAGTGTGTGGTTGGGAAGGAAAGTACCCTTCAGTTGCATGCTAAATTCCTTGTTCGGGCACGGGTTGGGAAAGGTGGATGTGCGATCTCTAATCAGACGAGATACAAATACACATGTGTATGTGTGTTTACTCATCACCATTTAAAATCTGTCAGATTTCACTTTAAGAAGAATTCCTCAGTTGTGCTTTGATTTCTCTAAAGCTGTCATAAGGAATATGTAGTATATACTACTCTTTAAGTGAATTTCCCTATGTACCTGCAGCTTTATTCCTGGCAGTTGGCAAGGCATAGTGCTGACTGCACATACACAGGCATTGATTGAAATGTCAGGCATTCTTTGCTGTTGATTATTTTTCATTAAGTTGCTTTCATTGTGAAAAGCCCTTCACATCACCACTAACAGGAGATGCATTTATCTGTGCTGGCTTCAGGGATGCCAGCTGCCTGTCCAGCCAGGGAAACCGAATGCTGGCTCCGCTCTTCCCGCGCTGCCTCTCACCAGCCTCACAGGCAGTGCAGTCCTGAAAACAAAACCAGAATTGTTTCTGAGCTTGTTGCATTCCCACAGTTTGGCAAGCTTCTGGCACATCTCCTGCCAGGTAGCTGGAAGTCTCTGACAACCTGGCCCTGCACAGGATGCCCTGGGTGAGGTAGCAGTGGGCAGCCAGGTCTCAGGGTTCTCTCAAGGCTCTCAGGGCTGCTGGCAGAGCAGAGCTCCTGCTGAATATTGAGGCCAAGGTGAGTGACCTCCCATCCACCTGGGTGTACATTTCTCTCATGCCAATTCCTGTGCTGCTGCAGAGCCAAGGCAGGAATTAGGCATCCCACACTTACCTCCACCCACTCCCTCCAGACAGTCTGTGTGTGCCTGTGTGCAGTGGGATTTTTCAAAAATGGACTGAAATCAAGAAATCACGAGCATGGAGAGCAAAGCTTATCTACCAGGCTTCTCACACAGAATTTTGAAGGTGGAAAAGAAACTGAATTAATAGATTTAACTAACTTAAGTCCTTTCAGATAAAAATGTGTGGCTGCACACACGTCTGTGATAACTTCAGGTGATTGCGGATGAAATCTACATACACATTCTGTGTGGGTTTTTTGCCTTTATGAATATGCAAACATGCAGATCATATTCTATGATTATATTAACATAATGAAAGACACTTCTCTGCCTGGACCCAGGAGCTTACTTTCATCTCTTAAAGATGTTATTTATTAAGGAGGGGTTGTTATTTTTGCTTTCTTCTTTTTCTAAACTGATATGTTATTTTAATAGTTTATCCATTGATAATGTTGAGCATGAGCTATAAACATGAATCGAAGATGCATGGATTTACAGTGCTTTTTAATAATCCAGTGAGTTTACATCCTTAAGAGGTGCTACTATTTAGTAAGATAACAGCATATGGTTTATCAATGTTATACCAGTAGGAATAGACTACTTAACATGAAATACCTTCAACATTAAATACTGGATAAGTATATTTTTGTGGATGTAAAAAAGTAGTAAATGTTTCTTAGTACATAGACAATGCGAGTCTTGAAAGAAGACTTTAAAAGGCATGTCTTCTCTCTTGATGTCTTTGACTCCATATTGCAGATAGTTGTGAAGAAGATGAGGGTATTTTTGCACAGTCTGTGGCTTTTCTGTGCAAAGATACCTGTTCAAAAAAGCATCTTTGCTCAGGCTTTAAGAAGGTGTATCTCAGAAGCAAAATAACATTTGCGTTGGATGTTACCCAGTGTAGCTAACCTGGCAGAAGTCTAATAAAGTACTTTCCACCAGTTTTCTGGAAGATTAATTAAAGTACTAATTTAATGGTTAGTGTAGTCCTAGGCCAAATAACTCTTGCCTCATACCAACAACTCCTAACATCATTTATCAACTGTATGATTTCTTTTGAGATGTGGACTGTCTTTGTACCCACACTGTGTAAAACAAGGTTACATAGACAATTACTAGTCTATGTGAAATCCTGTTCCTATTGTCTTTGTCATGAAGCAACCTATTTCACGTTGCTACTGCCAGTGATGAAATCAGTCATGGCAATTATGCCAGCAATTATGACACATTTATGCTCTGACTCCAGGAACAGTAGGCTAGGTGTTTCCCATCCAGATCCGGCATCCATTCTCTGTTCATAAGAACATAATCTGAAACCTGCGTCTTCCCTTTCCCCATTAGATTTCTGTCTCAGCAATTTGTTCTGGTTTATAAGTCAATCTCAGAAAATGAGATTTTCAGATCTGTAGATTGGCATTTGCCCTACAAGAAGTGAAAGAAAAATACTGGATCACACCAGTGTCTGGTAGATGACAGGCAAGAATTTCATGCCCCTTTCCACTTTCAGACCTCCTCTTCCTTCATAAATGGTTATATGATCTCTTGAGTCACTGGTCTTTCTACCCAACATAACATTAGGTATGTGCTTGCAGACAGTCTTTGTTAACTTACAGGTAATGTACACACACCTTTTGCAGACTAAAAATTAAAATAGATCAAAAAATCTCCACTAGAGAAAATGGGTTGTTGCTTGCTATAAATCTGCGGTGGCTTTTTAATATACATGGGGTTTGATATGTCTTTAAAATCTTTAAAATCTTGTAAAAAAATTCTGAAAGAATGAGAATGAGGTAACCAGTAGTATAGTGCATCAGTTAAAAGATATGTGGTTAATTTTATCTTTCAAAAAGAAAAGCTAAACCACTTCAAGTGACTCTTGTGATTTTTCTTTTTAAATTGACACGCTGTTGATACTAACAGCGACTGGTGTTCCTCTGGGTGTTAAGCTATGCTAATTACTCACATTCTCTTGCAGCGGTGTTGCTAATTGTTTAAACAATATCTCACCCTTCATTAAGCATAGGACAAAAGATGCCATTACAATCTAGCTCCTTTTGTGGCAAAAATGAAACTCTTTAATTAGGAGTTCTGTACACTTGTCCAACAGAGGCGTCTATGCCGAAGTGTGTTTAACAGTCAGTGTAACAGCAATTGTGGACATCTCAAAATGAGGAAGTGTTTTCTGTAGCAACCATCCCCAACTCTGAGAGGTGCTTTTGTTTCTCAACTTACGCTGGGGTTGAGGAGACTGAGGGCACTTGTGTTCTTCCAGGAGCAATCCTTTCTTTCTTAGCTGCACGATCATGGGATGTACCTTTATGCTTATTTTGGTTTGGTGATTATAGATGTGCTTTGGTGTTTTAGGGTTTTTTTTAAAGTGGGTCATACACATACACATATTAATAATGGAGAAGACAATAAGCCATGACTAAAATAGAGAACAGGAAATATCCTGGTGATACACTAGATTTATGAGATAGTGGTCAAAATCATGATATGAATTAAAAACAATTTTTAGTTGCAAAAATTTTGCAACTAAAGAGAACTTTAACCATCAAAATAACTAATACCTGTGCTTACTGCACCATATTACCTATAAGAAAATATTCTTAGATAATTACTTTTGATATTGATTCTGTCACTTTTTGCAATAAAAAGACAATTTAAAAGTATAGTCTTCTTTTTTCAGAGAAAAATTATAAAATTACCATTGTTCTATAGATATATTTAGTCTCATGAAAGTGGAAAAAATCCCAATAGATAAGATTTATTTTGAAGAAGGGAGAATATGTGAGGGAGAACAAACTTACAAGGTGTGAATGGAAAGATATTGCTAATTTAATATTAGCAAAGAACCATGAAGAGGTGTAACAAAAGAGAAAGATAAATGGTAAGACATATTTTTAAATGGTATAAAGCCAGAACAACACTATTGCAAGTGATTTTTTTACTTGTCTTCATATTTACTGAGAATTTGACCTCTGACAAATATCTTCTTGCCAAAAAATAATTTTTGCACAATTTTCATATTTTCTTAGGTCAAGAAAGATCTTCTGTTGAATTGAACTGCTGTAGGTTAGCTTTGGTTCTCCATATTTCTTTTGAAATTTATTAGCACTCATTTGTTTTGGACATGTTTATGAAGTCAGGGCAACCCCTCTGAATAGAACTCAGCAATTCCAGAAACAAAAGGGAGCTTCTTGTTTGTGTGGTTTTCACCTAGTTTTAGTGGCAGAATCCATAGACATCTATTTTTCCTACATTCAAGATGCAAGGATTCTGTTTTCTATGGTGTGTCAATTCAACTGATTGCAAATAATTTGTTAGAAAGCAGTCATAAATTGTTTCCACATAGCGAGGATTGCATTCAACTCTTATAAATCTACTTTGACTGTGTAAAGGTGGGAGACTTTGTCAAATCCACAGCTACTACAATAGAAAGCAAAAATATGTCTACTTCCCTGCTACATATCTCACGAATTTAAAACTTTTCGTATTTAAATGCCTTTGCAGATATACTGGCAAAATACGTGTTGAAGCTTTCCAACTGTTTTTATTTGGCATTGTTTTGTAGTGGCAGCTTGGTCATTAGTTGCTATATGGTGATTCTCTAAGAATCCAGCACTTACAAATCGTACTCCAACAAACAGTGGGATTGACAATCCAAGAACATTGGTTTCTAGACTTAGATATAAATATATTCTACTTGTACATGTAAATATTTTTCTATATACATTTAGTTCATTTTATGTCCATATTTACATTGTGTCAGTATATAAAGGAAATACTAATTTATTAGTATTTATTTATTTATATTTAGTATTATTTATTTATATTTATATAAATACGAAGATACATAATACAATATGTTGGTATTTATGTGAAAGTAGAGTTGTTTGTGTAGCATAGAAATATGGGTAATTTTTAGTAATGTCTAAGTTCATGAATATCTAGAATCTTGAATTTGAAGAAATACACATATGCCTATATTTTAGGTAAATATGTACCATGTCATGTATATGCGTGGGTCAGTAAAAGTATATTCTATCTCACATATATATATATATAAACTACACAATAATTACTTTATTTCCTGTCTGTTTTTAGTATTCCATGCAT